AGGTTCCCGGTCAGGGCACATGCCTGGGTTGCAGGCCAGTTCCCAGCAGGGGCCTCACAAGAGGCAACCACACATTGATATTACTCTCCTGTCCTCTCCTTCCCTTCCCTTCTAAAGATAAATAAATTTTAAAAAATGAATGAAGGGAGCCTGTCGTGACAAGGAAACCACTCACAACATTTGTCTCCCACAATCGACTTCTAGCTTTCGAGTGAGAACTGGAATTGTGGGGAATGTGTATTTGCCACTCTGAGTTTGGCAGCTTCCAAACAGTTCGACTGATCAGATGAGACGAGATGAGTAGTAATATAAACAAGTGTGATTTTCATAATATTTCATATGAAGTGTGCTGACACTTGGAAAATCTGCACGCTGTGTTTTGCTGTGTGTAATGCGCACTTTTTTGTCCACATTTTTTAGGGAAAAATAAGAATACACTGTATACGTGGGTATAGTGATTACATACCGTGGGGATAATAATAAATAATGGGCATGATAATCCCATGTATAATGTGCACCAACCGTGGGTGTGCATTATACATGGGACCGCATCGTGCACTGCAGAACACGGTATATTAGTGGAATGATATTTTCCAAATGACCAGTGCATGTGTTTTGCAATCCACGCAGGTAAAGGATCCATCCATTCAAAGTGCAAGGTAGCCTGACGCATTTTATTTTAACCAAGTATGAAAAATTCATCGCTAGGGTTTCAGATTGCACGGTGCAGCTGGCCTTGGAGCCACCAGTATTGGTCGAGTTTTGATGCAGCATCCAATGAGACTGCCTGCCGTGACCTAAGAAGGCGTCGGTCGGACTTCTCTGGCTTCTAACTGCATAGCTGTGTGAAGTGTTTCCCGTGTTCTACAGCCCAAGTGAGGGGTCACAACAAACCGGACACGGAAGCCCCCATGAGCACCCGGGCGTCTTCCAGTGGGCCAGATGTTAAAGGGGTTTGCAAAACCCCAATTGCTGCCATGCTTCTCACTGGTTTTGCACTTTGTGGTTTATAGTTTTGTTTTGGAAAGTAAGTTGTCATTTACATCAACGTGTAATGGATTTATTGTCTTTTTAAAGGAATTTAAAATGAAAACATCACTCTGTCTTTCATTTCTAATAGCATAAATATTGACAGCTGCAACCCACATAAACGAAAGCTTTTGGGGGTCCTTAGTGATTTTTAACCAGGGAAAAGGGCGGGGGCTTCTGAACTGCTGTCATGTGACATCAACCAGAAAGGGGGTGCACGCCCTCCCCCTGGGGGCTGGCGCCCTCCCAAAGTCTCAAAGGCTGTTTTTTTAAGATGTGGAATTTTTTTTTCCATTAAGTTTTCCACATTTTAGTCAAGAATGTAAGTGGGTTGATTAGTTTCTCATCTGTTTTGAATTTCCTTTCAGCTTCTGTCAAAAAAAATTGCTGCGGCAGCGATCCCCGCAGGTCAGCGGCGGAGGGAGGCACTGTGGGGCCCACGTTCCCAGCGCGCCCACGTTCCCGGTGCACGGAGCTGGCCCCCACGCAGGCAGGCACTTGCTTATCTGGTCGGGGGCAGGCCTGGTCCTGTAGCTGTCCTCTCTCACGCGGACCCTGTTACTGTAGCAAGTGCTTCACTACAGCTCCCAGAGTGTTCTTGGATACAGATAACTTCATTCAAAACACACTGTTGGGTTAGGCCAGCATTTTTAAAGTGAACTCGGTTCAAATGTAGATTTTTTTAAAAATATTCTATTTATTTATTTTTTGAGAGAGGAGAAGGGAAGGAGAAAGATTGGGAGGGAAATATCAATGTATGGTTGCCTCTTATGAGTCCCCTGCTGGGAACTGGCCTGCAACCCAGGCATGTGCCCTGACTGGGAATCGAACTGCAATACTCTGGTTCACAGGCCTGCGCTCAATCCACTGAGCTATGCCAGCCAGGACCAAATGTAGATTTTTAAAAAAGGTTTTGGTATCAAAAGCTGATGCTTTATATTGCATACATTAGGGCTAAAAAAGAATTGCAAACCTAATGGAATAGGGAAAAATATAAAGTTAGCCCTAACCCGCTTGGCTCTGTGGGTTGGAACATCATCTGCTAAGCAAAGGATCGCGGGCTCGATTCCCAGTCAGGACACACACCTGGGTTGCGGGCCACGTTCCCCAGTTGGGGGTGGGGGTGTGAGAGGCAACCAATAGATGTTTCTCTCCCTCTCTTTCTCCCTCCCTTCCCCTCTCTCTAAAAATAAATAAATACAATCTTTAAAATAAGACAGAGTTCGATTGTGAACGGGCAAGAGTGTTGAAAATAGCCAAGGCTTTAGAGAAGGTGGGAAATTATACAGAGAGGGGAAGGGAGGGAGGAAGAGAGGGAAAGAAACATCTATTGGTTTCTCTCAAATGGGGGTGTGTGGAAAAGAGCTTTTAAATAAACATGATCGCTATGACACTGAATCAACAAAGGTTTGCTGATTAGCAGAACGCTTTAAAGAAACCCTGCTCTGAAGAGCTAGGGATGATTTGGAACCCTTACGGTCGTCCCCCAGTATCCGCGGGGAATACAACCCAGGACCCCAGTGGAAGTCAGGGCCCCGGGCACTACCGAACCCCATCTATGCTAACCTTTTCCCTACACGTACGTGCCTGTGATCAAGTTTCATTTGTCAACTAGGCACAGTAAGAGAGTCACGGTCACTAGCAATAAAATCAGGACCAAGTTGTGTGGAAGTTGTATAAACCCGGTGCCTCTCTCTCCCTCTCCAAATCTCTTACTGTCCCGGACTCACCCTTTTTTGGGATGATGCGAGGTGACACATGCCTGCCTGACGAGATGGAGGGAGGTGGAATTTTCCATTCTAATATTTTCAGACGACGGTTGCCCGAGAATAACCACAAGGGGGGAAAGGAAACTGCATGCGAGGGGGGAGGACTACACTTGAATTGTTTGTGTACTTGTCCTCTTGAGTAGGGCAGAGGCCCCCAGCCTTGTGTTCACACTGCCCGTCTGCCCGGCAGCCCCTGTCTTCAGAGAGAACATAAATAAGTAATCTCCCTGGGCAGTGACTCTCGAAATGGAACCTTGGAGTTTGTGAAATTATTGAACCTATAGACACCTTAAATATTTGTCCCTTACTTATATGAGACTGTGAAAAATGATCAGACATAAAGACATTTTACAGTGATTATTTTTAATGAGAAAAACATGCTGGTAAAATAAAACCTTAATTTCTCAGCTCGATTTCTCTCCAGCTGTTCCGTGGGTGGGGGGCGGGAGCAGGTGGAGGAAGTTCTTCGTCTTCAGAATTGTGCGTCTCACGTCTGAGAAGTGCCGTTTGACCCTGCTGCCTGCCCACTCCCCCCCAAGCTGGGCTTGCAGGGAAAGTGCACTGATTTTCCAGTTTGCGCTGCTTTGCATGGGAAACAGGACCAATGCACCGTCGGAGCTGCTAGGGCAGAACTCGAGCTGCAGGGTGAGGCTGGGCCTGCCCTGGCAGGTCGCGTGGGCCTGCGATTGGCTGAAAGGGCATTTTGCAATTTTGTCTGTGCTCTGGCACGTGCCTATCTTACTGCTCCTCGGGACTGAGGCATGCCATGAGGTAGGGGTTGTTTCTGGGTCTGGAAGGCAAATGACTGACACCTCGCTGGGTGACCTTTCCCTGGGAAGTCCCAGAGCTGGGGTCAGAACCCCCCCCTTGTTACTGTTACTCCTCAGAGGCAGCAGACTCCCCATCTTTGCCTCGTTGCGATTCCCTCCTCCCCGTGGCGTGTTGCACCAGCCCTCTCTTCGCTTTGACAGCCCCTGTGGGGTTCCCCCTCCAGGCCGGGCCCCCTGCACTGATGGAGCCAGAGCCCAGCCTCCCCAGCCCTTGGCTTTCTCATCCTGGGCTGCTGCTCCCGCCCACCAGCTCACTGGCTTCCCTCCCTGAGCTCTGAACCCACAGACCTGTGTCTCCAATGTTCTCCGTGGCACTTCTTTCCCAGCCACTGCCCCTCCATCTGTTCCATCACAGGAAGCAGAAGCAGGAAGTGGCCCCGAACCCTCCCCCTCCTTCATCCCAGCCTCCTCACCCAGTCAGTCCCTGGGACTCTGTTCTGTTAAGTGTCAGTAAAATCCTTCCCTCTGCTCCCGCTGAACTGGAGCAGTCCCTGCCTTCAGTCTTCTGGTCATTCTGAACACGTCTGTGGCTGTGCCACCCGCCACCGGAGCCCTTCAGAGGCTCTCTGGTGCCCGCTGGGGAGCCTGGGCTTGGCATTTGAGGCCTTGGGCGATCAGGCTGGGGCTGGTTTCGTCACCCACCTCCACTCACTGCCTTGCACCCCCACCCACCCCGTGCTCCAGCAGGACAAGGCCGCCTGCTCCGTGGGCATCTCCCTGCCTTTGTGTTAGCTGTTGCTGAATCCCCCCAGCCCCTTCCATTCCTCCAGACCAGGAACCTCAACACACGATGCAAACTGAGCTGTAGCTCTGTTCACTCTGTTTCCCCAGCTCCTGGTGCTATTTCCTGTCCATGGGCTTGACCTGTTTGAATAAAGTCCATGTGAGCTATTTGCTTTATCTGTTTGAAGAAAGCAGTATTTTGTAACTCTTTCCACCCCATAGCCTGGCCCCAATTTCAACGGTCCGTTTTGAGTGATCACTCAGAGGCAGCAGTTAAGATGCTAACAGTGTGACTGAGTTGGTGTGTGTGCGTGGGGGGCGGGCGGTGGTGTCTTACCTCTCAGCTCAGTATCCGATACAGAGATTTTCCTTCGTGCCAGGGTGTTAATCATATCCAAAGACATGTTTCTAACAGGGACAGAGAACATGAGCGGATGGGTCAGAGTTCAGAACCCAAGGCAGTTTTCCAACCAAATTTGGTAATGACTTACAGCCGCTCCTCACAAAAGCACCCGAGTATAATCATGGAAAAGATTAGAACTGCTCTCTATGTAGCAATGTGTTGTTGAGAGAACTGCCTATTGAAGTTCTCTCAATCACAGAAAGAAAATAAGCTCTCTCTCTCTCTCTCCCCCCTCCTTTTTAACAGGATCAATTCGACAACTTAGAAAAACACACACAGTGGGGAATTGATATTCTTGAGAAGTACATCAAGTTTGTAAAGGAAAGGACGGAGATCGAACTCAGCTATGCCAAGCAACTCAGGTAAGTTGCCGTCGGGCGAGGGTATTTGTCCGTGACCTGCACAGTGGGTGTGAGGAAAACTGATGCTCTTACTTTACGGGAGAGCTGTAATCCTTCAGACGGCTCTTTTTCAGTATGTGTAAGATAATATTTCAATAGTAATGATTGTGTTTAGTATGAAAAAGTAATTTTCACAAAACAGTAAACATAAAAACAAACTTCCTGCTTTTAAGCTCCTCTTTCAAAGGAATGCTTTCTCAGTTTTGGAGCAGCTGATTTTTTTCAGAAACCTTTTTATTCAACTATAACTTACATAGAGAGAAGTGTGCCAATCCTGAGTGTATGGCTCCAGAATTTTCAGAGCAAACACACTTATGTCACCGGCATCCAGGTGAGGGACCCGGAAACCGCTGGTGTCGGAGGCCCCGACCCTTCCTGTTCACCACCGTCCCAAGGTGGCCGACCACTGTGCAGGCTTCTCACAGCCTGGCTTTCACCTTGGTTTTGAACCTTCTGTGAACGTGCCCCTTTATTAGGCAGCAGTTGTCTTTGGCGTCACTCTGCTCCATGACGTCTGCGAGAGTCTTTCATGTTGTTGCCCGTGCTGGGAGCTGGTTTCTTCCATAGGTTTTGGAATTTTGCTCTGTGGGCACGCCCCGGCCCATTCGTTCTCCCATCTGTAGGCGATTGCTTGTCTCTGATTTGGGGCTACAGTGTACACACCCAGGGCAGAACTCGGGGTCAGAGGCGTTGTGTGTGTTCAGTGAGAGTCCACGGGGTCAAACATTCTCCCAAAATGCTTCTGCGGATGCCTGCTCCCTCCGGCCGTGTGTGAGAGGTCCCACGGGGCAGCGTTTGGAAAGCACTTTGGACCCCTTACCTCTTTAACATTGAAGTTACTGGAAAAATCCATGCTTTTTATGTAAAATGTGGAAAGGTTTTGGTAGAACTAAGCTTGAGCTTGAAGCGGCAGGCAAGGTCTCCAGTGCCTGCCGGCCGGGCCGAGTTGGTCGTGAGACGTGTTAACCATGTGGGTGGCTTGGTTCAGAAGCGTTTCCGTTCCATCTGAAGAGCATCCGCGGACGGGGGGTGTCGCCTGTCGTTGAAGAATGCGGCTTCTTCCAGGGCTGGCGGCGGCTCGTAAGCAGGCACCTATGTGTTCCGTGGGGGGGGGGCATTTCCGTGGGTGACAAGTTTGGTTTCCACTGAGTGAGTGGAACCAACCACATTGAACCTGCCGCTCAGTGAGATCCTTTGTGTTGCTCGTGGAACCCCGGTCGGCGTCTGGTCCTCTGTGTGCACACTGGCCTCGTCAGTGTTTTGAGACTCACAACCAAAACTAGGGCTCGAGAATGAGACGCCTCATGATGATGATTTAAACGTTGCACCATTTATCGTAACACATTGTCTTCCACGTGGAAAGGGGTTCCGTACGGTTTCATCCAAAATGAGGTCTCGCCTCATGGAATCACCTCTGTTCGTCGCCTTTCTTCTTCTTCTATCACACAGGCTCCTCTCGGCTGGTGCCTTCGTCCACTTTTGCTCTGGAGGGTTGTTATTAGATGTCTGTAAGTTGGTTCTCACAGTTTCTGCACCGGTCTGGAGCGCTCTCTCACCCCCCACCCACGCCCCATGCACCAGCTCCCTACCCTTTCTCGTCTCCCTGGGTGAGGGAACCAAGGACTCAGGCAGCAACGTGGTGGGTTATGGAGAAGACTCCGAATTCCAAGACAGCCTTGGGGTACAATGGCCTAGCACCCCATCAACCACTTCACCCCGCTGCGGATCACGTCTCCTAACTTGAAAGAGCGTGTCAGTATGACCGCCGTGATGTTTGTCTCCGGGGAAGTCCTTTTCCTGAGATTTAAACATGGACGTTTGTTTCATTACGTTCCCCAGAAATATCTGAATTTGTGCTTGCTGGGAGAAGTTGATAGGAACAGATGGGTAATTAAATAAATGCTTTCCAAGTGATTACTGATCGGGTCTTCTCACCCTTGACACTGAGGTCTCAGCTGGACCCTTCCTGCCGCAGTGTCATGCTGTGGACCCTTGGTGGGCTTGCTCTCCCACTTTCCTGAGTGGCTCGTGCACAGTGTCTTTTACATCTGTCCCCAGCACGCCCTGTTCCACCCCTGGCGACTGCTTCCTCCCCCTCACTGCGAAAACGGAAGAAGTCGGGAGAAGCCGCCCTCAGACTCACACTCCAGCTGCCACCCGCCAGCACATCCCCAGGTCTCTGTGCCCTGCACCCCACCCCCCACGCTCCTGTGCAAGCCGGGGCCCTGCTCTCGTGCACTGGGGCTCACCTGACTCCAGAACTCTGCCCCCCCCACCCCAGGTTCTCCTCTCTCTCCTCCCACATCTGTCTTTGCTCTCTCCTGGACTGCTCTCATCGGAATGCCAATGCACCACGTGTTTCCCATCTTAGAGAAGCGTGACTCTAGAGCTCAGATCCCTGCCGCCACCACCGTCTCTCAGCTTCCTTCCCTTTGCAGCAATGCTTCTCACAAGCGGCCTTGCTGCCTCCTGTTGCTGTCCTCTCGCTACCTTCGCCTCAGCTCACCAGCTCTGCTCCTGCAGGCGCCAGTGACCCCGCCCATGTTGACCATCTCAGCTGCCTGTCCTCGGTCCTCATCACCTTGACCTCAGCCACTTTGGTGTTGGGGGCGCTCCCCCCGCTGCACCCGGGGTATGATCTCTAAGGCCACAACTGGCAGATGGATATGTGTCTTCACGCTGACTTCTCTTCCGAACTCCAGACAGGTGCCCAGGTCTCCATTTGGATGTCTACCAGGCCCCCGCAGTGTGATATCGGGAAGGGAGTCCCACCACTCAGAATGTGCGTCCCCGCAGCCCAGCGCTCCCCCACTTACTTGAGGGCAGCCGCACGCCTCCTCACTGGGCTCAGACACCCCACAGCCACCTTCAGCTCCCATCTTCCCTCACCCTGGGCCCCCGCCCCATCCAGGGCAGCAAGTCCTGGTGAAACGGATCCATTCCAGACGCACCCAGGATCCGACCGCTCATTGCCTCCCCTGCTACCTCGGCCTGGACTGTCAGTCCCTTAAGTAGGCTCCCTTGGTCCACCCTCTCTCCGTCCATGCCCTTTGGACAGCATCTCTTTCCTTCCCCCTCCTCTTCCTCCTCTCTGCTCGAGCCATGCTGGCCTCCTCGCTGTTTCCTGTACCCACGGGGCATGCTGTGGCCCAGGGGCTGTACTGGCCTTCCGTACATCTGATCGCCGCCTGATTATTCATCCCCCAGCTGCCCCTTCGCCCTGAAGTCCTTGTTCAGATGTCATCTGCTGTACTGTCCCGTTTTTCCATAGCCCTGGGGACTTTCTAACATTCTCTCTAACTTCCTGGTCTATGGTGTTTATTGCTCATTGCCTCCCACTCCTTCCCTGCTAGAATGGAAGCCCCTCCAGGGCAGGGCTCCGAGGGTGCCTGCTAATAATGTACCTGGTAGCATGGAACAGCCCTGGCCCACCTTGGGTGCTCAGGAAGTAGTTGTAGGAAGAGAGAAGGGACAGGGCAGGGGGCTAAGGTAAGACACTTCCAGGAGACTAATGTGTTTGCACAGGCCCGTGAGAGCCCAGGAGGGCATCAGTGTTCCAGGGGACACTGATGATGGAGACACAGAAAGTGCCTGGGCCTGAGGCACTCACTTCTCACGGTGGGAAAGAGATTGCATGCAAATACCTAAGGAAGTAAATGTCTTAAAGATAGCGTTTTTCACCCCAAGGAAGTAAAACCAGTGATGATGGGGGCGGGGGTTACCTGGCTAGACTGGCCAGGGAAAACCCCCTGCTTGAGAATGGAAGGTCAGGGAGGAGGCAGGTGTGCGAGGGCCTGGGAGCCGTTCTTCTCAGTGAGTGCAAAGGTCCTGAGGTGGTAACGTGGTCGAAGCGTGGAACCTGATGGGAGCATATTCTACAGGTAGCTGCTGGAAAGAGCAGTATGATGTTGAGAGGTCCTGTGATCTTTCGGGGGAGACATCTGTCATTAAATACTTTCTATTCTTTTCTGCATTGGTGGGAAAAAAATGGCCAACTTATTTTAGTCATAGAAGAAGATGATTGGGACTTTGGTTTCTAGGTCAGTGGCTGGCAACCTACACAGCCCATGGCCAAAGCCATGCACTGCCTGTTTTTTTGTTTTTTTGTTTTTTTGTTTGTCTTTTGAAGTCATACATGATCATCAAGCTGCGGCTAGAATGGTCACACCCATTACTGCGAACTCAAAACCCTGGAGAAACTTCTCCTGGGAGTTGACCTGAGGTTGGGGCAGGGCTGCACCCGCAACAGGGCAGGTTCAACTGCATGGGAGCCTTCCCCCAGACCATCACGGCCCAATTTTATGAAGTTTCATTGGCATGAACATCTATTCATCTGTGTTTTGTCTGTTTCCAAAACGGTGGCAGTTGCTTAGTTGTAACAGACCCCATGTGAGCGTGACCTATTTGCAAGTCTAAAACATTTATTGGTCAGTCCTTTTATAGAAAAAGTTTGCCAACACCTGCTAGAGTTATTATTTATTCAAGATGGCACAGGGCTCAGTTCCTAATATAATTTTAAAACAAATTCTGTGTCCTGTATAAGACCACCAACTGTTGATTGCCCTTAGCAACTGTTTCTTTAAAAAAAAACTAAATTATTTTCCATAACCAGATAATGAATGCACATGATTAAAAATCCAGAAATGACAGAGGTACCAAATGGTGCACAGTGAAGTATCCCCATCCCTAGGGACAGTAAATGTCATCCGTGTCTCAGGCGTGCTTCCAGAGAGATGTTGTGTCCACGGGCAGAGAGCTGTGTCTTTTTTCCTTGCTCCCCCAGCAGCTGAGCATGCACTTGTCCGCGCCCCCCCCCCCCCCCCCGAGTCCTGGAGTTCGTTCTGAGGTTCATTTTCACTTTTTACAGCTTTACAGTGTTGCACTGGGCCGGAGGATGTGTGGACTGTTCCCAATTGTTTGTAACTCTGAACAAAGTTGCAACGTATAACCTTGAATGGTACACGTGGGCAAGCAAATCTAGAGGAGAAGTTCCTACAAGTAGCACAGCAGTTGCTGGAATTTGCCAAGTCACCTTCCTCAGAGGCTTGACCCTTACCACTCAGAGCCTTCGGTGGGGTGGCGCTGCTGACCACGCCTGGACCCTCCGTGCCCCTCGCCCCCAGGCTTCTCTCTCTGTGCCAACTCCATAAGTAAAAATCGGGAAGGCTGAGAGCTAATTTGTGTTTCTCTTAGTACGGACGAGGCTGAGCATGTTTGCGTACAGTTAAGTCATTTGTACTTTGTTCTTGATAAACCACTGATGTCCTTGTCAATTTTTTTTTAACATTGAGGCTCATTGTAAATGAAAGGTAACTATGTAGAAACCATTTTATAAAATGTGTCACATGTTGTACATACAAGGTTTTACATTTAAATTAACTTTAATAGTAGAAAGGACATTATAGTGAAACAAGGGTTTGCTGAACATTTTTCTTTGTTTTCCTCTTCCTAGTACTTTGGTTTTTAAAAAAATTTTTAATTGTATTTTTTCCATTACCATTTAGTCCCTTGTACCCCACCTCATTTCCCCCAACAATCAACCCAATTTAAAAAATGGGTTAAAGGACCTGAACAGACACTTTTCCGAAGAGGACATACAGATGGGCAATAGACATATGAAAAGATGCTCACTGACATTATTCATCAGAGAAATGCAAATTAAAGCCACTGTGAGATACCATCTCACCCTTGTCAGAATGACTACCATGAATAAATCAACAAACAACAAGGGCTGGTGAGGATGTGGAAAAGGGGACCCCTTCTGCACTGTCGGTGGGAATGCAGACTGGTACAGCCACTGTGGAAAGCAGTATGGAGATCCCTCAAAAAATTAAAAGTGGATCTGCCTTTCGGCCCAGTGATCCCACTTCTAGAAATACATCTGAAGGAACCTCAAACCCTGATTTGAAAGAACGGAAGCACCCCATGTTCATCGCAGCGTTATTTACAATCGCCAAGATGTGGACGCAGCCAAGTGTCCATCAGTAGATGAGGGAGTGAAACAACTCTGGGGCATTTACACAATAAAATACTACTTGACGATAAAAAAGAAAATTTTACCCTTTGTGACAGCCAGGATGGACCTGGAGAGCACTATGCTGAGTGACATAAGCCAGTCAGAGGAAGACAAGTACCATATGATCTCACTCACATGTGGACTCTAATGAGCAAACTGAACGAACAAGCAAAACAGGGACAGACCCACAGAGAACAGGAAGACAGCTGGGGGGCGCACAGGGGGTGGAGGGACTGAGCAGAAAGGAGAAGGGCCTCGTGGACGTGGATTCGCCAAATTTTAACTATTCCACAGACTCATACAAGACTTAGCAAACAGATCATGGAAAGCTCGCAGGGTGTCCTGACTGTTCCGCCGGGTTTTTCTAAAGCTCCATGTTGTAATTCTGAACAGGCTGCTGCACTGACTCACAGCTAGGAAAGAGAAGAAATGTATTTACATTTTCATTTCCCCTTCTAATCGAATTATGTAATACGGTCTGTAACACGATCCCCACATTTGTCGTAATTCTACATTTAAATATAGGTTTGGGCTCACCAGCATCCCTTCTACCACAGCTTCTCTGCTTGTTGGTATGAAGAAAACAGGGCTGTTTCCCCCCAGTAAGAGCCCATAACCCTGGAGTCCTCGTTTCAGAATGCCACTGCCACCCTCTACAGCCGTGGAACTCGGTGACTCCGTGGTCCCTTCTCTCCAAACTTTGTTGCCGTGCTGTGTTTTGGGGGCAAAGTCTGGGACCAGCCAGATTGGTTTTCTTTGTTAGGTGTCCTGCTTTTTTGAGGAGACTTGTGAAGAATTTGTCATTGTTGTTGTTCCACTCAGCATTTTGGCAACTTACGGGGCTGTGCCTCCTCACGGGCCATTCTGTCCGTTTTTCATGGAGCCCTTCCCTACACAGACTCGGTTCTTCTTTGTTTCTTCATCTGTATATCTAAACATTCTTTTCCATTGTACCTATTCCACTTCTCGAGTTACATACCTCAGAGATGGAATTTTCCTTATGTTATGACTCTTTTTGTCCTGGTGATTTGGTTGCTTTTCACGTGACGCCATCTCGGACTTTCCCCTGAGCGGTTGGACAGCCGGCCTAGAGTATCTGTTGGCCCCTCGGTGGTACGTGTCCTTTCCAGTCCCTTCTCTTAGCTCTGCAGTGTCCCTCTTCCCACTCGGTCTTGCCCTGTAACCCCAGGATCCTTTCCCCGCTGTCTGCGTTTTTATGAAGTCTGTCTGGGCCGTCAAATGTTCTGGAGGAGTTTGGTTCAGCTTCTTTTCCTGGGATGTTTTCTCCCGGAGTGGATTTTTCTCTCCTGTCCCCTCCCTCCCTTCTACATTATGAATCACATCTTCTCAGCTGGCTTATAGTTAACATGGCAGTTGAGGGACATGGTTAAGAGCCGACTGTAGAGTCCCAGCGCCTGGGATGCAGTTTCAGTCCTTTCATCGATTTTTGCACAAACTACCCTCCGTGTTTTATCTTTTTCATCTGTAAAATGCAAATAATATGATACAGGCTGTTTGGGGTTTACTCCGTGAGGTCAAAGGTGTATCGTCGTCCTTTGCAATCCCCCCAGGCAGTCAGCTCCTGCTCCTGCCCGAGTTGGTGTTCAGGAGCCCGGGTGGGCAGTCTGCCTGTCTTCCTCCCGGAGCTTTTTGTCACCGTCCCCCCAGGGCTGCCTGACCCCTCAGTTCGCCTCTGTCTGCATCAGTGTTCCTTTGGGGGTCATGGACTGACTCCCTGTGGCAGGGAGGGTGGGCCAGCACCGTTCTCCGCTGTCCCGCCGTCTTCGGTCCCTGGCCCCGGTCACCGCTCTCCGCAGTGAGTACACTGAGGTTATGCCCCCTTCCTCACTGATGTATCTGCGCTGTTGGAAATGTTCCTGGCTGTTAATTCTCATCGCTCGTTGCTGCAAAAGCACAATTCTCGGATCAAATTGTCTCCTGCCATCTTTCTTCCAGCAATCTCGTCGGGAGCTTTAAAAGAATAGGAGAAAGAGAGAAAAGACAAAACGTTCCCGGACCCAACCCCTGCCTTTCAGAGGGTCTGGTACGGGGCCCGAGCGTGTCCTTTCTAGAAGCCTTCCCTGTGGCTCTCATTTGTGAGTGTACGACCCTTATGGAAGGCTGTATGTTTTTCTCTTGCCTTTTCATTAGCCTCTTTGAAGCACAAATTAAGTATATAAAACACTTAAAAATTTTCAGGAAGATCTCATCAATTTAAAGGTGCTTTTTTGTGGTTTCTTGGCTTGCTTGTTTTTTTTTTTTTAATAACCTCATACAAATAGGGCAAAAAAGCCTGTCTCAGAGAACAGAAATATAAGTAGATCTTTTTTTGTAGTGGTTCCTGAGAGACATATCTTTAGACCTGGAATTCACTTCTACCTCCTAGGCTTTTAGTTGTCTACTGGCCTTTGTAGCATGAATTATGCATCAGGGCTTTTCGGAAGCATTTGGATGCCGTAGTTGCTAACAGTGCCAGCCACATGTAGTCAGTGGACCCTGACGGTCCTCACAGGATGGGCCTTTAGTCCTGTTCAGGGTTTGACTGGTCAGTGGGAACCACTGAAGGTGACTGGCTTCCCCTGGATCTGCACGCGACCTGCTACAGAGGTAGCAGGCAGCTGCTAGAAAAGCGGGCTGGGAGCGGGGCCGCGAATGCCAAGCTGCTGCCGCTGGGCCCCCACGTGAGCCGAGCGTCAGCTTCCCGGCCGTTTCCCCAACTAGGGCTTCCCAGGCAGGACCCAGGAGAAATCTGCCAGTGGAACCGGTGCCAGTGAAGTTGGTTGTTGTCGTCGTCTTCGTGTTTCAGAATTGCCTCTTAGTTTTCGTGTAAACTTGAGTGTCTGAATGTTGAGGAGAGTGCCTGCATTCTTGACCCGGAGGTGGGGTTAGGAAGAGAGACGCGGCGATGTGGCTCATCGGAGTGCGTTCAGTGCACACCTGCGAGGCAGCTTCGACGGTCTCCTAGTTCAATGTTGTAGCGTGAACCTCCCCAGAAGATCGTCTCTCCTGCCTTGGGGGACTTATTCACAGGCGGTTTTCATTAGCTCTTTGGGGGAGCAGCCACATGCCCTTGGCATTGCGATGCTTCGTTCACACACTTGGACCCAGTGCACATGCTTCACTTGACCTTGGGGCAGTAACGCTTGACTTAAAAAAACTGCCCTCGGCTCAGGGCTTCCTGGAAGCCACCACATGTACACATGTGGCCTGTCCCCTCCATTTCAATCAAGTCAGGCCTCCGGGTCCAGCTAAGTGGCTGGCTGGTGACCATTACTGTTCTCATCTGCCCTGCCTTCGAGGTGGCGACTCAGAGCCATGCAAGTCCTTCCCAGCAGGACCATCACGATGCCCGTGTTGGGAGATGGAAGGAAATGAGTGGATTTCAGCTGTGGACGTTTTGTAGTTACTCGTTTCAACTTACAAGAAAAAAAAGTCACTAACTTCATCTGTCGTCCCTGATTTCTCTCTTGTCTGTCTGTGGGAGGTGACGGTGTGTATTTTTGTTTCAGGAATCTTTCGAAGAAATACCAACCTAAGAAGAACTCGAAGGAGGAGGAGGAATACAGGTCCGTGGGTCACCGATAACGACGGGGCACCATCGACATGCCGGCGATGGCTGAGAAAGGAAGGGAGAGCTAGGTCCCTCCAGAAATGGGTCTCGCTCTCCGTCCGTATCTGTGTTAGTTTTTAAATCGGGGGAGAGAAAAATGTAAACCTACCCTTTTAAGTTTTCTCACACTGAGCCACTAGACCTGTTCTAGATGGTTTCAACTGGGGCAGTTGGGAAAAGCTTAGAAAACAATCTAAGCCAATACAAGAGGTGTGGATGGCTCATTCTACGGTCTTGGTTTGGTTTTGTAATATCAAAAGTGTCGTTCCTACTAATTCATCCAAGAAATAACGTATTTTTAGGACCATAAGACGCACCTAGGTTTTAGAGGAGGAAAATAGGAACAAAAATTTTTTGAAGCAAAAAAATGTGGCAAAATATTTAATAACACAAATAACATAATATTTCACCAATGTAAATGTAAACAGAACTCAACCGCAGCATTAACAACCATTATTCCTCCCAAATTTTGGGGGGAGTGCATCTTACCGTCCGAAAAATACAGTATGCCCGTTTTAGTCAGGGATCCAGGAGGCGCCTTAACACAGACAGCCCCAGAGTACTGGTTCTCTAATTTGGATCAAGTATTCATCACGGTGATACATACGTATTCTGGGTTACACTTGGACTGAGTATTAGCAAAGCCAGAGACTGCCCTGCATGGCACAGAGCAGTTCCGATTCCCAAAGTTCAAAGTGCCTCCGTTGTAATTAAGTCTGAGGCTTTTTGATGAAAACATCCTTGTGTGTAATGAATTGTCAGGATCCCCCGGGAGGCTGCTGCCAATTAACCTGATTTTGATGAGCGTTTCTCCAGCGCAACGAGCCCGGGTGTGCCCTTGTGTGAGGAGGCGTGGCGTGTGTTCTGCTCCGCAGGTACACGGCCTGCCAGGCCTTCCTGTCCACCCTGAACGAGATGAATGACTACGCCGGGCAGCACGAGGTCATCTCGGAGAACCTGAGCTCGAAGATCACGGCGGGGCTGGCGCGCTACGTCCAGGAGCTGAAGCAGGAAAGGAAATCGGTAATGAAACTTATCTTTTCCCCAAGACATGGACCAAAGAGAAGGGGAATATCTCTAGAAACTTTAAAATGATATAGAACACATAAACCGTGGGTCTTAAACCGACGCCTGGGAGAATCACATAAAAGTCATGGACCTCGTTCCTAGGAAGTACTTCTGTGTCTTTATCATCTCCAGGGTCCCTCAAATGCCCCGAAACTCATCTGTGGGCCCCCGAACTCTAAGTAATTCATTTGAGGGATTTAAATACACTTGAGGGTATCAGACATACAGAGTAAGCATTATAACGTGGTGTGTGCTGTGTGGAATAAATGAAAGTAGATGCTCATAAGGGGTTTTAAAGAGCCAGGGAGGCGGCTTCAGTTCCACCCACTTGACTTCTTGGCTCCTTTGTTGCTAATGGAGAGGACCTTTTGCTTCTCCTGACACCATTAGAATCTTTTCGTAGCTTCCGTGTGAGCAAGAGAGAAACATGCACTCACAGTGTATTCATAGTCCAGATTCTGCCCGAAGAGATTGATTTTTAAGCACTTGATCTGTATCGTTGAACTTGGACCAGTTTCTAGATGCTTAATAACTTGCTAGGAATAAAGCACCCAAGCTGGCCAGTTTGGGGCTTTTTTAGATAAATCTGAGTCCATAATAATTCCGGTGGTGCTCTGGCGGCGTATGAACTAAAGGGATAGGCGGGGCTCCTGCCGAAATGGAGGAGGCATGAAATAATAATGGCCAAAACAATTAGGTAATTGCAGTAGTGGTAGTTGCTCCAAAGTACCAAATGTTGAGGTCTAGCTGCGGTTTCTCACGGCTGACTGGGAATGATGTCTTGCTGAAGTACAGTCCCTTCGGGCCCTGTGCTACACTGGCGAAATCCTGCCTGCCCAAACGGACGATTTCGAATTTACTGCCTATAGCGTATCTCCAAGTTCCATTCAGAATTCCTCATAGAGAATCGCCTTTCATCTCGATTTTGCTGTGTTTGAAGAGATGAATCTCTAACAAGAGGCTGCCTGGTGCGAATAGCTAGCTCTGCAAACAGCAGGTTGCCTTCCCTTTTTGTATAGATTTGAGAGGGAGCAGAAGAAAGTAAGTGGGAGAAATGGGTGTTCTCCTTGCTGTTGGGCCCATAGCCCAACAACGGGCCGTCTGTTTGGCCTTTAAGCCTTGGACTCTCCAAAACGGGGTAGTGCTTGCTGTTCGTGTTTGTTGGAGAAAAGGTGTTTTCATGCAGCGGTTTCCACCTGCGCTGCATTCTCTTACAGCGCAGCTCACTCACCTGACAAGTGTGAATAGCCAGCGTGCGCCCTGATGCACACATCTCATCTTTATGAAAATAAGTTGACTTTTCAAAAGTAAATTCTTTCAAAGAGAACCTTCCCTTAGCACCTGTGAAAGCACAGCATTCAGGTACTTCCCTGGCTGATGTCTGAGCCGGCGGCCTTTCCCACTGGGCAGCGGGAACCTGCTGGAGGCCAGGGCAGGGGCTCTTAACCCCCACGCCTACTGGGCTCCACATCAGCAACTGCATTCGGGCACGACCTTCGCCTTCACTTTAGAGAGGGTGGAAGCAGTGGCCAGGCTTGGGGGCAAATACGAACCCAAGTGCGCAGTACGGTCCTTTGCTTTGTATTGTCTTTTTTTTTAATATATGTTTTTTAAGATTTTATTTATTTATTTTAGAGAGAGGGGAAGGGAAGGAGAGAGGGAGAGAAATATCAATGTATGGTTGCCCCTCCTGCGTCCCCTGCTGGGAACTGGCCTGCAACCCAGGCATGTGCCCTGACTGGGAATCAAACCAGCAACCCTTTGGTTTGCAGCCCACACTCAATCCACTGAGCTACGCCAGCCAGGGCTATGTTGTCTTTTATTGGCAAACATAAATTGTTGATAAATCTTTACTCCTTGACAATACAGGATTCACTGGTGTTCAATGGTAGGGGGTAGAAATAAGTGGGAAACCAACAGTGTTTTATAAGGCAACATGATTAGCTTTAATGTGTGAATGCTGAAAATTTTATACGTGCTTCATTTCCCTAGATTTTCACAAACCGATAGTGAACACAGCATTCTGTCTCCTTTAGGTGACTACGTACAGTAAGAACCTCTGATTCTTTTATTTACTGTCCCTTTGGTTTATTTGGGGGGGGCGGTGCTGTGGTTTATTTATGAGTTGCCAACATTTAAAAAAAATGTTACTAAACCTCTGAATTTTAGAACAAAACTTCACAACCTTTCTTTATGTATCAAAATCCTCATTTTTCCAACTTTTCTTCTGAATGTTGTTTATAGATATGTAAATGTTTATATAGAGATAGATATATAGATATGTAGATATAAATATCACATCTCTGTATAAATGTTATATTTTCGTACACTATATTTCATATATTTTAAAGTATTTATATCTATATTTTACTTCTATGTCTCTATACAGAGAAGTACAATCTATATTCTCCAGTTTCCATTTAATATCATAATTACTTATGATATGTAATAATCTTACTATAGATAAGATTGAGGGGAAGGGAAAGCAGAAACTGAAAGGAGTTTATATAGATAATCAAGCTAATTACAGACCTATTTCCGGTTGATTTTGTCCCGTTGAGATTCACTGGGGATACTCCACGACTCGGCCAGACTCTGTCCCGTAGGCAGAAAACGTGGAAACCAGGACGGCTCTGAGATTTCACGACCTGGAAAAGGGGCAGGGTGTGTGCGTAGCCATTTCCTCCCTCCCGTGTTACTGCGTTTACTTAAGTAATCAAAAGGCCGGGCACCCTTTGGTCAATCTGCCTGTCACTGGTCCTTCGTGTGGGTCACACTGTTTGCAGCCCGCTGATCAGTATCCCCTGGTGTCATGTATCTCTGGAGGGTGATTTTGCATTGTTTTGTCTCCTTTGTTTTGAAAGAACAGGCGATAGTGGCATTTTGTTTGTTAGGCCCTGTCACCACCCTGGGTCTGTCACCAGCAAAACCGCTGGTCTGGTGACCCAGAGGAATGGCGTCTTATGTATGGGTTGACATACCTGCTTGTCAGGACCCTTAAATTCCATCCTGGATTTCACGGATTCTAGGAGCGGCTTCAGGTTTCTGTGTCACCTGTGAGCTGGGGTGAAGCCTCCCCGTTCATCTAAGAGTTGTGAGAATCACTTCACTAATTCCACAGTGCTCCACAATGGTGACAATGATGCCCTGGAACTGGGCAGGGCAGCGTTACCCCGTCTAGACAAACCTGGGATCCCCCAAACGCCCTTATCAGCCCCATTCCAACCAGCACCCCCCTCCCCTCCGTAATGGCACTCCCTCTTAACCCAGCAGCTCCGGCCGAAGAGGCGGGCACCCGGGACTTCACAGAACATCCAGTCCTGTGGGCTCTGCCTCCCTGCTCACCCCTCCCTCCACGTCCACCCTGTCGGTCCCTCACCCTGTCACCTGGGGGACTGTGTTCGCTGAGCTACCAAATGCATCCCTCTGCTTGCAGGCTTGTCCGGTGCTCGGTGGTCCAGCCACCCTCGACCCCCGTCACCCTTCCGACCACCAGCTGTCTTCCAGGCAAATGCAGCCGCCCCTCCCCTGTCCCCCACCTCTCCTGCCCCCTCCCCCAGAACATTCAGCATAGAGCAGTCAGCTCGGTCTTGTGATAATGCAAAGTACACCATGTCACTTCCCTTCTTAAATCTTCCAGTAGCTTTCCGTGTGCCCCCTGTGGCTTGGGGAGCCATTCGTGGCCCGGCCCTGGCCGGATCCTGCCTCATCCCTCACCTCACTCTCGCTGCAGGGGCAGCTCGCCGCCGCTTCTTGGACATACCAAGCCCTTTCCCACGTCAGAGCTCCTCCGTTTGCTGTTCCCCCCGCTCGGCAGGGAGTGTCCCCAGGCCTTTGCAGTTCATGCCTACTCTGCACTCAAGACTCCACTCGAACCTCATCCCAGACCCCCCATCCGAACTGCCACCCACGCACACACGTGCACCCCTCTGTCCCTGACCCTCTGTCTTTGACCGCTGTGTCCCCCGTTTTACTCACACTGCTTCCCTGGCGCCAGGCAGCACCCTGCTTGTGTGGGTGTGCAACGCACACGTGTTGGATGCTGAGACCTTTTGGCCCAGCAGAGGGCTACCGCCCCTGAAGTTTCGTCCATCGACCTGGCACGCTATTCAAACCTCGTTTTTTAAAAACAGGCTTTAGTTATTTATTTTTAGAGAGGGGAGGAGACGGAGAGAAACAGCGATGTGAGAAACGCTGACCAGTTTGCCTCTCACACACCCCCCACTGCCCCCCGAGTGGGGAACCTGGCCTGTAACTCGGGCACATGCCCTGAACGGAAATCGAACCTGTGACGTTCCGCTTCACAGGCTGGCGCTCAGTCCCCTGAGCCACACCAGCCTCTACCTCACCTCTTAGTAGTGGTGATTCTTCTTGTTTCGGTTTGGAAGTAAGAAGAGCGTTACACCCTCGGAAGGGATAAGTGAGGGACACGAGTCATTCGCTGCTGCCCAACAGTGGTCATTTGAAGGTCCTATCATCCCAAGAGTTTGGGATGCTTCAGAGGAATTAGAATTTCAAGGAACATGAGAGAAGGGTTCTTCTGAAGAGCAGATAAAAGACCCCTGCAGTCTGGGTGAACTGTGGATTCGAGGGCTCTGGGTAGCAAAAGCCAGCGAGAGATGACAGAGGGGCCGCAGGGAGAGGACGCCAGGACAGGGAGTGAAGGAAACCTGGCCAGTGTCCCTGGACCCGGGCCACCGGCAGGGTCCCCTGCCCAGGGCCCAGATGGTCTGTGTTTGGGGGAAGCTGAGCCACTGAGTGTGGCATTGGGAGGTCAGCGTTTTAGGAACTTCCAGCACATTTGTTGAGAAGGTATTTTTTATTACAGATGAATTTGGGAAAATAAGCCTTAAATAACAGCAGAATGTGATTCCTGTCACCAACGTTTCTGGGTGTCTAGTTCCGGACTCCCACGTGGGGTGCGAGTGACCTGCTCTGGCGGGCGAGCCTGAAGGTGCTTCTCGGGTTCCGACTGCACCCCGGGGTTCGGCACCGCGGGGATTCCCCCTGAGTCAGCCGAAGCAGGGGCTAGCGTGCCAGCCCACCACTCCGGGGGTTCAGAGGAAGTAGGAATACTTGTCACAGGCCAAGTTTCTGGGTGCTCCTTTTTCCTTCGCCCTTTTCACGCCCTTGTGTTCCTTTGTTTTCATCTGTGGAATCTGAGTTTCATTTAAAATTCCAGATGGTTGACTGTCTTCCACTGAGTGTTTCTTCTTTTTTTTTTTTTTTCTTCCATTTTTTTTTTTAAGTGTCTGTTCTCACATCAGGGCCATATTTTGCTCCAGGAAGGAGTCTTAAAAGGCTAATGGCCTGTGAGATACACACAGTAAAAGTGAGCCTCCGTTACACCTAATCGTAGAGCGTGGGTACTAAACATTCCTGCAGTTTGCTCGGCCTAAGAGTGAGTTCTCACGGAGCGGTGGAGTCTCTCGAAAGCTTTGTCATTGTGATTTTTTCTTGCCGTTAATGCTTGCTTATTTTAGTTTCCCTGTGATTTTTGATCTCAGCTCCCCCGGGTCTCTGGGAAATTTCTAAAACATTTTTGAAGGATGATTTTGTCTGTGTGTTTTTCGGGGTCCGCGGAAAAGCTGAAATGAAAGTGAGTTCAGCCATCGCCCAGGTACTGTCAGGCATTTTCAGCCGTTTTACCGTGTTGGGAGAGAAACCAATGCGTCTGCTCACAGGAGCAGGTCGGGGCTTTTCTCTGGGGTCCCTGGGGATGGCATTTCCTGTCTCTCTGAGAGGAGAGCAGAGCCTGGTGACTTCACTCCGTGGCTCCGAAAGAAGCGCTTATTATCTCCTCCTGGAGAACAGTCCCCCTTTGTGCAGGGCTCGGAGGAGGCCCGCTTCTCACTCACACACTCCCTCACTGTCCGGCGAAGAAAGGGTTTGCCATTGTTTGTCAATAAACAACAAACGCATCTGGCGAGCTGGTGTGTTGGGCTCTGTAGCAGCAAAGCCGGCTTTTCCAGTTAAAGGAGGGAAGATGGACCTGGACCCAAACGGCTGCAGCTTTCTGGGTCACGCGGGGGCCGGCAGGAGGCCTTCTGCGCCACTGGCCGCTTCCGGAGGCATCCGGCTGCCTGTGGGTGTTGCAGCCAGACGCAAGCGGGAGGGACCTGCCGTGAGACAGGAGGAGGAAAAGCACAGTCCCCGGATTTCTGTCTTACAACATTCGCTCCCGTAAGCTCCCGTGGTGTTCGGATGGTCGTTTCTGTCTGACAGAGGTGTGGCTTCTCGGGAGAAAGCTCACCAGTAAAATCACGGTCCACATTGTGCTTGAAACACAACTTCATGTTTATTATAAAATAGTTGAGTGAAGGAATGGCCGGAGTATGTATATGTGGGTTTTCTATTGGAATCAATCCCTCATGCTTCCAAAATGGGTGTGTGTTTTTTTTCTGATTCCGGGAATGAGGAAGCCGAGTCCTGCTGTGACGGCCGTCACTTTCTGCACGTCCTTGTGCCCGCATGTCCTCTCTCTGCCCAGGGAGCTTTTCCTTTCAGGGGCCTGTCTTTGAATCTCAAAGTAAAACTGAGCGTAACAGTGAGACTTTTCAGCAAACTGTGTAACATGGTGATCCTGCTCGCAGAGCAGGGACAGTCCTCGTGACAGTTTGGGGAAGTCGCATTTCTGCATGGACAGGGATGCTCAGGACCTAGGGTGGCCCCCCGAAAAGGCCTGGCTGAGCCTCTGTCTCCCTGAGTGAGTCCGCCCAGACCCCCGAGCACTGTCTGCCCTCCCACCCCCACTGTCACTTCTCCCCCCCATTCATTCTGTGGCTTCCAGAAAACCTGCTTGCACTTTGTGCTTCCTCCAGAGTTCGAGGCTTTCCTAACTCTGCCCTCAGCTCTGCTTCTCACTTCCCTCCCGGCCTCGATCCTTCTCGCCTGCTGGTCCCTCCCCGTAGACTCCCTCTGGTTTCTGCGGCCTCTCTGCTCTGTTAGGAGACTTGAGGAAATGGAGCCCCGGGGCCCTCTCTTGGGTTCACAGACACAAAAAAGTTGCTGGGTGGGTAAAACTTGCTGTCAAGAGGCACTTAGGACCTCTTGACCTCAAAAGGAAACAAGAAATGTTCCCGTATAAAGAAGCAGTGTTCTTTAAAAGAGAATCTGATCTCTCCCCGTCTCCCCAGCCTCCCAGGAGTCGGCTCTCTGTTGTGAGTCAGCGCAGCCCCAGGTTCTGACTGAGCAAGGTGACAGTTCTGGGGCTGCACAGAGGGACTTCCTGTTTCCTGTCCCCCCTCCACCCTGCCTTCTCCCTAGAACCATCCCCTGCTTACCTGTCAGTGAGAACACAGACAGCATGTTCAGTCCAGCCACCGAAGGAAGCTCGTTTATTCAAAGATGCCTTTAGGACGCATTGGGAGGGTTCCGGGACAGCAATAAGGGATGCTGCACGCCCCCCCCAGGCTCATTGCAGTGGGGAGCTCCTGTGGCCCCAGGTCTCAGGACGGGGGGAGCCTTACGGGAACTTCATAGATTTGCTTTGGGGGAGGGGGCTGCCTGACCAGAGCTGTGGCCTTTAATCGAGGGCCCCTGCCAACCTAGAACATCTTCGCTGGGGGAGGCCTTGGAGCTGGCCCCTCCACCTCCCCGCTGTGCCAGAACCTCTCCGAGGGCCAGGGAGCCTACTTGCATGGTCCAGGCAGGCCAGGACAGAGTCACCCCGACCTCTAAGTCTCTAGTGGCCCACCACAAATCCTGGTGGTGTGCGATCGAAGGACACCGGAATCCGGCCCCCCTGCTCCCCACCTCCACGGCTACCCCGCGGTCCGAGATTGCGTCATCTCCTGAGTCAGAGGGAGCCTTCTGCCCGGAGCCTTCCTTCACAGCGTGGCTCCCAGCTCATTCAGACAAAAAGCCCACAAGAGCCTTCCAGGAGTATCTGACTTTTGGGTACCTCTGGGCCACACTGGAAGAAGAGGATTTGTGTTGGCCCGCACATTAAATACACAAACGCTAATGAAAACTGATAAGCCAGAAAAAAAGATTTGAAAGAAATTTACAATTTTGTGTTGGGCCATATCCAGAGCCACTCTGGGCCGCGTGCGGCCCGCAGGTTGGACACCCCTGCTGCACAGTCCGCCCCTTTCTCCTCTGACCCCATCCCCTCATTTTGTGAGGCTCACCTGGGCTAGTCCTCTGCTGCCCTTGCTGGCCAGCACCAGGCACACGCCTGCCTCGGGGCCTCTGCCCTGCGGGTAGCGGGGTGGTGGATCTGTATCAACGCTTTAAAAGATCGGAGTAATGGGAACATCCAGCTACACGAAACTTGTACCCAAGTGCTTGTAGCAGCACCGTTCATAGCAGCCCCAACCTGGGGACAGGCCAGACGTCCGTCAGCTGGCGAGTGGATAACAAGCCGTGGTGCGTGTCCGCACAGGGGAAGGCGTGCCACGTGGCGATAAGAAGGGATAAAGTACTGAGCCACGTGGTCACGTGGATGAACCTGGAAAGTGTAATTTGCCAAGCGAACGTTGTAGAATAATGAGAGCAGTGTGCCAATCACAAAAGGCTTCATGTACCACTTATGAAGCATCTAAAAGGGGCACATCCATGGAGACAGGCAGGGGGCTGGTGGTTGCCTACGGCTGGGGAGCATCAGGGACAGGAGGGCGACAGCGGAGAGGTGCGGGGCTCCTTTGGGGTGAGAAGCATTGATTGCAGCGATGGCTGCACATTTCGGTGACTGCCAACGGCCATTGACCTGTGCAGCTTGAATGCGTGAACTGTAAGGGAGACGAATCGCATCCCAAAGCAATGAAAAAGAAAGGCCTAAGTGATTTTGGTCTTAAAACGTCCCTGTCACTTTTACACATGGTGCGCGTCCTAGAATTCAATAGTGCAGCATCTGAGGTTTTAAGAGGGCACTCTGTGGCTATCCTTGTTTTCGTTTCCCCTTTATTGTTTAAATCTTGAATGTCTCGGGAGTGTGCATGCTGGGTGATCCATATTTAGTGTTGTTTCAGAGGGTGGGCTTTTCTCAGGTCAGCATGACAAAGGGTGGGCTGACGGCCGGTGTGTTTCTTGTCTCCAGCGCTTCCAGGACGGGCGGAAGGCCCAGCAGCACATAGAGACCTGCTGGAAGCAGCTGGAATCGGTGAGTGGGGAAAGGATGGCTCGGCAAAGGCCTGGCTTGGTTTTCTGACTCGAATATAATTGAAGCTTGAATCAGTCCATCAGTGCCAAAGCCATGAAAACACTAAAGGAAAATGTCTTTAGAGATTTTTCTAATTTAAAGGCAGTCTGTTTCTAGAAACTTGTATGTTAAGTAAAGTGTTGAGCCAAAAGAGCTCCAGGAGAGTATTTTTCTAAGGAAATCATATGGAAAGAACAAAGTTTGGGCAGTTGAGGTGAACATAAATGCAGATTTTAAAAAAAGACTTTATTATTTATTTTTAGAGAGAGGGAAAGGAAGGGAGAATGAGGGAGAGAAACATCAAAGTGTAGTTGCCTCTCACACGCCCCCTACTGGGGCCTTGGCCCACAACCCAAGCATTTGCCATGCCTGGGAATCGAACTGCCGGGGCTACACACCAGCCGGGGCTACATGCAGGTTTTAAGACAACTCCCTGAGACTAGGACTCCCAGCTCAGGGCGGAAGGCCATGGGGCGTCCGTGGGGGGTCTGGGCGGCCCTCGGCGCCCCCCTGAGTTGCTTCCCCGCCCCCTCCCTGCCCGCAGAGCAAGAGGCGCTTCGAGCGCGACTGCAAGGAGGCGGAGCGCGCGCAGCAGCACTTCGAGAAGATGGACGCGGACATCAACGTCACCAAAGCGGACGTCGAAAAGGTGAGGCGAAAGTGAGCCCCGCTTTCGTTTCCCCTTTTCAGGGCCCGTCACGCAGCCTCCCGGGCTCGGTCCCCGAGTTCTCCTTTCTGATGTGGCCACAAAAGGCCACTTGACTTGGGATCACTTTCGGGTTGTGTCAGCTGTCGGGGCCGGCGCAGGGACTGGGTTGGGGGGGGTTGGCACTGAGCAGCTGCGCGGAGAAAGACCACGGACCTTCCGGGGCTTGCTGTCGGGGGTGGTGGCTTTTCAAAGAACAAGTCGGCCGCTGGAACGCTGGGGCGCACCGCCCAGCGCTGGCCGCCCCCAAGGCCTCCGGTACAAAGACGGAGAGGCGCCCGCCGCTGGCCTGGCCTCCGCGCCGGTCACCGAGGTGGCTGGCAGGTGGTGGCCAGAGGCCTGCGCTGCAGGGCCTCCCCGGAGCTCCTCCCCGTGCCCTTGTACTGGGGGTAGGGGTGCAGTGACGTTGTGCTTTTCCCCTAGAAGCTGCATTTCCCTTTTGTAAGAGTCATCAGTACGGCGGACACAAAATGAGGCTGTTAGATAACAGCGCTCATGCGTTACTGCCCAGGCTGTTTGGGTCACGGCCCTGCCTTCTCAGACCCTCCTTCCACTTTCGCCGGGGCAGTTGGAGATGAGAGTGGCTGGGACGTAGTGTGTATCGGTCGTTTGGGTGTGTGCCCGGCTCTGCCCCGTTCCCCGCTCAGAGCCTAGGTGTGTATCAGTGTTGCCTCCCTCTAGGATTATCTAGTATATTAAAACATCCTCAGTGTCTATATTTGATCTCGAGGGGGGATGTTTACCAAAAGATGTATTAATATGGTAGTGAAGTTACCATAAATCACGGTGAATTTGCCTTAAGTTCGTATTAAACAGCCAGCTTCCCAAACTGTTCAAAACGTTCTTCAGTTGAAGTAGATTGACACGAAGCTTATTTTAAAAATTTGGGATTAAATGAGAAACGTATCCAGCACAGACACATACATTCTTTTCCAAGCACTTTATTATCCTAGGTGTAAAACTGGAGTGATCTTTGTTCTCTCAAAGGCCTTTAAAAGAAATTACTTCTAAGGTCTCTTAGTATAAAAGCCATCCACCCTCACTGTAGAAATATCTGAAAATACAAACATCTAAAGAAGGAGAAAAACAGTAAAACGCCCAGTGGTTGGTAGGAAAAGGTATTTTACCTTCAGGACCTGTTAAAACAATTATGTGAACCATACACAGGCTGGGGCAAAAAAAAAAAGGCTTCTGGTTGTGCCTATGGAAAATAATACAGTCCTTAATAAATAATGACACAAGAGTGAACTCTGTTCCACTCACAATGTTGAGCCCACTTTTGCCCCACCCTGTGCCCATGGGGTAAAGAATGGCAACAAGAGGAACACCAGCTTGAAAGAGAAAATCTTATCGGTGGCTTCAAAGTCTCCCTCCCCAATTCCGTCCTTCTTCCCCGACCCTGCAGGCCCTTGTCTGGTCTCAATGACCTCCTTGCTATTCATAGCCCTACCCTATCTAAAGGGTATATTTTATAATTTGCCTCTTTTCCACCTTTATGTACACAGTATCTTACTTTCACCTAATTTCTTCTGACTTCATTTGTTTTCACGAAATATTACTGTTGATACTTGGCTCACGTGGCGTGTAGAGAGTGCGGGCGCGCGCGCGCACACACACACACACACACACACACACACACGCCTTGTGAATGTTAATATTAGAGCCGGATGCCTGGCTAAACTCTTTGTATTTGTTTTGACTTTTCTGTAGAGACAATCCTATCACGAGCAAACAATGACGGGTTTAATTCTTTTTCCATCCTCTGGCCTTTTATTTATTTTCCTTATCTAGCTCTGCGGCTTATGACCTCCATTATGTGGGTAGAAGCCAATCCTGGACTTTCTTATCTCGAGCTCGATTGTAAAGAGTGCTTCACACAGTCCAGGTCGAGGGATTTCCCTTTTCCTATTTTGCCAAGAGGTTTTTTTTTTTTTTAAGCCTGACTTGATATTGAATATCACCAAATACATTTTCTGCTTCCTTTCATCTGTTCGGGAGATAGATCACACTCATCAATTTTTTAATATATGGAACCAAATTAGGGGGACAACTCCAACTAGGTTATCATGTATTCGGTTTTTATATGTAGCTGAGTTTGTTGTTTTCATATTTTAGTCAGGGTTGTTTTATCTGTTGTCCTTGAGATTAGTCCATAATTGCTCTCATCTGCTCTAGTTTGCTTTACTTACTAGTTTTGGGGTAAACGTGCTCATTTTTCTATTTTCTGACGTAATTTACATGAGAGGAGCCGTTCTCAGACGTCTAAATATTTTGGGAGGCTGCGTCGTGGGGAAACTTCTGACTGCCAAACCGATTCCCTCACTGTCTGCTGCTTTGGTTAAATTTTTCTGGTGTTAAATTTTTCTAAAAATACATCCGTTTCATCATAAGATTAGAAATGTTTTAGCTAAATGTTGCCCGTAATACTCTCTCACCTTCATTTTTGCTGCATCTGTTGTTTATTCCTAACATTACTTATTTATACCACTTCCCCCCTTTTGGGGCGGTCACTTTTCTAAAGTCATTTTTATTGCTCTGTTCCAAGAACCAAAATTTATCTTTGTGGAACTTCTCTTTTCCACTTCCGTTTTCTGTTTCATGTAGTCTCTTTTCCTTCTTTCTTATCTGTTAGCCTTCAAAAATTTTCTTCCTTCACCAAAAAAACAAAAACAAAACAAAAACAAAAAAACATTTTCTTCCTTCAGCCCTGGCTGGTGTAGCTCAGCGGACTGAGCGTGGGCCGTGAACCAAAGGGTCGCCAGTTCGATTCCCAGTCAGGACACATGCCTGGGTTGCAGGCCAGGTCCCCAGTGGGGGCCACATGAGAGGCAACCACACACTGATGTTTCTGTCTCTCTGCCTCCCTTTCTCTCTGCCTAAAAAAAAATAAAATCTTAAATTTTTTTTCTTCAGATGCTTGCCTCATTTCAACTTTTCTCGCTTTCTAGTCTAAGTACTTGCGTAACAAATTTCTCGTGTAAGCACTGATTTACCTATAACCCACAAGTGTTGGCGTGTAGTAGTAGTATTGTTCATTTCTAGATCTCTTTCATTTCTTTTACTGCTTACTCTCTCCTATGATTTAGAAGCATATTTTAAAATTTCCAATCGTACGACATATTGAAGTGTATCTTTTTGTTGTTTTCTCTACACTGTGGTTGTGGAAAGCCCGAGTTTCAGTCTCTTATAGTTGTTGAGACTTGTTTTACGGCCTAGAGCTGGTCCAATTTTATAAATGTTCTAGAAGGAATTGAAAAGGATGTGCCTTCTCCAGGTCCAGCTGCAGATTCTGCCCGTTTCCATCCGCTCAGACTTGTTGACCGTGTTTTCTAAATCTTCCCGCCAAGTATATTTTTGCATCTGTTGCAGCCTCTTGACAGAGATGCGTCCCTTCTTTGTGTCTTGCTTTTCTTGTCTGTCCTGGGCCCACAGGGGAGCAGGGCTGAGGAGGGTGTTCACTGAGTGCACGTGTACGAGACACTCAAAGCCACCCGGGTGGTGGCCGGGGACCTGCAAGGTAACTGTTAGGATGATAACGGGGGGGGGGGGGGGGGGGAGTTGCCATTTCCTGTCGATTTGATAAAGTTTAGAACTGTAATATCTTCGGTGAGATTTAGTCTGTCACCGATGTGGGGTCGTTTTCTCTCCAGTTGTGCTTTATGCCTTGAAGTCGAGTTCCCCTGCTGTCTGGGTGAACTCGGCCTGCAAGTCTCCCCCGGCAGTCCCCGTACCGGCTCTCGTGAGACAGCTTCCCCGGGGCTGCTCCCCCCCGTGAAATCCCGCCGTCAACCAGCAAGACGTCTCTTACCCCCACATCACTGCCCTGTGTTTCGGTCACCTAAGAGGGTGTACATCACAGCAAGCAGACCGACAGGGGGGAGATAGAGACTGTCCATGTGTGATGCTGGATGTACGTCCCTTGGAATTGAACTGTCTGTGGCCTGCGTTTAGCGTGGATTCTCCAGGCAGCTGGCATGACCTGGGGGCATACGGAGCCAGGACCACATCAGTCTGAATGTTCCAACTCAGGTTTGGGATCCGCGCCAGCTGTGTGAGTTCTGACCCTCTGTGGTCGAAAAATCTCCAGGATGGCTGTTTTCTTGGTTTTCCTACCTTGGTCGACCATGACAGGTAAGTTATCAAAGGTGCATCCGCTGGATGCAGAGGCAGCTGTCGGACTTGATAGAACGGCCGATTGGGTTGCTCTCCTCAGCCTTGACGTATTTCCCAGGATGCATTGTTTTTCCTCCCACTGACAGCACCCGTGTGATTTTTATGGACGTACCACTCACCTCCTCCCCAAGGATATGGTAAATTACCTGATTTGGGCATCATACCTGTGGAAGGTGAAGGAGCAGGGTCTGCACACTGGAATTCCTGAGCTCTTTTGCTGATGAGTGTGACTCGAAGCACTGTAATTTCCCAAACAAACAGTGGTTCTTATCGTTAGTTAACGTGATTTTCCATTTTGACTTTGGAAAGTCTTTGAACCTCATGTAAATGGCTTTTCCCAGTTTCTGCCAACGATTAGAAATCTCTTAACCTCCCTTTTTTGTTTTAAAGATTTTATTTAATTATTTTTAGAGAGAGGGGAGGGGAGGGAGAAAGAGAGGGAGAGAAACATCCTTGTGTCAGGATACATCCATTGGTTGCTCTCCCGGGCCCCCAACTGGGGACCTGGCCTGCAACCCAGGCATGTGTCCTGGCTGGGAATCAAACCAGCGACCATTTGGTTTGTAGGCCGGCACTCAATCCACTGAGCCACACCAGCCAGGGCTCGACGTTCTTTTTCTGGCAGTCAGCCCCACAACCCTTGGAGGGACACATCAGTACTTACAAAGATGAAACCGCTCCCCCTCTAAGGAATTAGAACTTCCCTCGTCCCTAAATTGTGTTCGAGTTTGGTGACGCCATTGTGGTGACCCACCTGGGCACGATCCTCT